GGGGCAATATGCTGACTCTCTGTAAACCGCTTAGAGAGGGCTGAAAGCCCTATGAAGCGGTATATAAGTCTACTGCTATTGCTATTGCTATATTTCTGTGCATGCGTGAAGAACAATGTACACTGAACAGCGCGCGCATGTGTTGCGAACCAGTAGCAAAAGTGGCAGCAACCCAGCCGATTACCTGATTTTGAGAATGGCAAAGCCCAAGGATTCTTCCAATTGGACTTGGCAAGAATTGATGTTGCTGGATTGGTTGATAATGGCATTTGCAGAGTGCGTTCCTCTTTGGAAAGCCTCTCCTCTTATCATCAGCTCTCCATCTAAGTATCACTTTTAGCTATCAACACTCATCCCCCCCCATCTTTGGCATCAATGGAAATGCTCAGGGGTCGGTTATACTTATTTCAACCCATAAATGTGGGAAGGGGGAACTGTAGTTTTCCCTTAAGAAAAATAATGGGCATCTCTTCCCTGCAGAAAATAAAGTTTACTTCTGTGACTGGCTTTATGGTTACTGGAAATTTCTATGGTAGCATTCACTTCTCATTTCATTTTTTCATGTTAGTATGAATTCCAAATTGTAACTGGGATACAAAACAAGAGTTAATATTTCCAGAACTAAACTTGTTTAAGAAAAGGCTGAATCAATCAAACAGAAACTTTTCTCCCATTTTCCAGTATGGAGGAAAAGAGAGAACATCCATTTTTATGAGTTTTCTATAAGGTTAGAGTAAGTTTCTTTTTCTTTGTCCATTTTAGAAGAAGACAGGATAGATACAAGATAAAACAAGATGCTGCCAAACAACTTATGAAAATATGGTACTCTGGCTGATGTACATGTGTCACTTCTTGTGTAAAGGTAAAGGTTCCCCTCCCACATATGTGCTAGTCGTTCGTGACTCTAGGAGGTGGTGTTCATCTCCATTTGAAAGCCAAAGAGCCAACGTTGTTCGAAGACGTCTCCGTGGTCATGTGGCTGGCATGACTAAATGCCGAAGGGGCATGGGATGCCGTTACATTCCCACCAAAGGTGGTTCCTATTTTTCCACTTGCATTTTACATGCTTTCAAACTGCTATGTTGGCAGAAACAGGGACAAGTAACAGGAGCTCATTCCATTATGTGGTGCTAGGGATTCGAACCGCTGAACTGCCAACCTTCTGATTGACAAGCTCAATGGTGACTAGGTGGCAGCGTCTTAGCCACTGAGCCACTTCTTGTGTAGTCATGTGGAGTTGAAATAAGTTATTAATGTAAGATCTGTTTAATTATCCTATTTTGGAAATTCAGCTAGAATTTTGATTTAAGTAATATCAGTAATGCAACATGATAAAATATGCTTGTAATGAAATGAACAATGACAATATGATTACATGCATTATATTCTTACAAATTGGATTGAATCATGATGAACCACACAACTTAATTATATATTTATACATATTACGTAAGCAAGGCAATAACATTTCAAATATGTGACACTATTGAAATTAGTGACTCATTCGCAGTTGATGTCATACGGCTTTTCACAAAAATTGGTTGGCTATGAGGGAACTTGCCAACTCAAAAAATAGCTGGTTTTCTATGAGTGGGTAGCATAAAATGCCTATTTCACAAAGTGGTCAAACTGAAAGAAATGTAAGCTCTAGTTCCTTTTTTTGCCTGCTGAAAAGTTTTCCCTTCCAGTCAGTTTCACGCAGTAATTGTTTATGTCTCCTTATTTCGGCTATCTCCTGCTTTCGTCACTCCTGCCAAATGGGTTAGAGTTACCGATAGATGGTTGACAGGTACCTCTGAAAATTTATATACCCAGGCCATAATCACAACAATATCACACCAATTGATTACATTCACTAAAACTAGTAGTGGACCAAAAAGAACTGAAAAGTAACTTGTGAGGAATTTTTAAAAGTTACATGTAGTGGGATCTAAGTCCAAACATCAAATTGTATAGTTGGCTGCTATAAAGCACAACATATATAAATATTATATATTATAGAGGGGTGACGGGATACTCAGAAAAACATGCACACACTCAGACAATGCATAGAATTGGGGTACTTACCAGTAGCAGGATTCATTTTTTTTCTACCGGTTCTGTGGGTGTGGCTTGGTGGGCGTGGCATGGCTTGGTGGGCATGGCAGGGGAAGGATACTGAAAAATCTCCATCCCCTCCCCATTCCAGGGAAAGGTTACTGCAAAATCCCCTTTTCCTCCTGATCAGCTGGGATTCGGGAAGTAGAGAATAGATGGCGGTGGGGGCAGTCAGAGATGGTTTTTATCGGTTCCCTGAACTACTCAAAATTTCTGCTACCAGTTCTCCAGAACTGGTCAGAACCCGTTCAATACCACCTCTGGTACTTATGCTTAAAGAAAAACCAGGAAAAATATATTCATGCTATGAAAAAGCATTCGGAGTAATAATGAGCAAATAGGCTGTCCTATCTGAGCTGCCATCATCCAAATGATGACTAGGTGGCAGCAGAGAGCGTTTGTGTTCTCTTTGCTACAATCTTGTGACTTCCTGGATTCTTGCAGAGCACGTATGGGAGCCCTACGAACAAGCTGTAGAAGATTTGTATATATTTTAAAACATGAAATACACAGGCTGTGTATATGTTTGCTCTATGGCTAGGTGAAATCACTTACCTTTGTTAATTCTCTCCAGGGCCAACCTTACTTAATTGCATTTTTCCTTGTTGTATTCCTGGAAAGGTGGATTGCACTGACAGTTGATGCCATGTTTTACAGCATGCCAGCCTTCCAAATATTTTCATTTATTAAAACAAATGCACAAAACCCGAAGGAATGGGAACCAAATGACACACAGGGATTGTGGTAGCAGGATTTACAGCACCATGGCGAAGACCGCAGACATAATATCATTCTCTAGAATCCCATCAGCATTTAAATGATATAAAGAATAACATGTTCATCTCACTATACACTCTTACAGTGTGGGGGGACCATGTGTTAAGGGACCTTTGTGACATTTAGTGGCTGGGCAATCATCCAGGCAAGCAAAAAGAAAACAAGATGTGGAGCCAATGATTCAACCCCAGTTTAGAGTTTATTTAGATGTGGGTATGCAAGGGCAAGGAAGAAGAGTCAGCTTGTTCAATGGACATTCTGCAGAGGATCAAATAGTTACATCTTTCAGAAAGTTTAAATAATAATGTTTGGAGATGAAAACATGGCTCAAAGAGAGGCACTTAAATTTTGAGTATAGTTGAGAAAGAGATGTTGAACACAGAGCTAAATCCATCTCTAATTGTTAAGATGATCTCATCATTGAAGAATAGAGCCAGATAGTAGATACTATCTCTTGCTAGTAGATATTTCCTTGTGTTCTGACCTAGGCTTCCCCAAAAAGCATGAAGCAGATTCCTGGTTGTGACAAAACCCCTTTTATTAAACAAATGTGAATTCCTCTCATTCATATTCAGCAAAGGCCTGGTAAACAGTCTTTCAAAGGTGAAGTTATGACCACAGACCTTATCTATCTTAGAAAGCTGCCATGTAAATATTTTCCAAGGCAAATGCTGTGCAAGGAAAGACTTGGCACAGAGTCTCTGAGATTCACAGACAGATCTAACAAACAAATGAACGAATTGTTTCCTGCAAAAGCCCACTCCCCTTTCACTCCTCTTTTATTTCCTGTAGGAGAGGCCATTCACCGGCTTTACTCCCAAGTCAACCCTGATTTCTTAGCTGTTCTTTTCTTCTGGCAGCTCTGCACATGTGCACACTGGGAACATGCTCTAGCTGTTCCTCTGCTTCACTGCTGTCTAGCTGCAAAGGCAGCTGAGAAATGCCAGACGGCCTTGGCCCCATCTCTGCCTCTGATGCAGAGCCCTTGTCTGAGCCTTCTTCAGCCTCCAGGACTAGCCCATGCACCTTCCCAACCTCCTCACTGTCTGATTCTGCTGCCAGCTCCGCTGGCCGCTGGCAGGCCACAACACCTTGGTACAACTACTCTAGTGATAGCCTTTGGGCACAGTGAGGGAATCAAGTTAATAAACAATATATGTTATCCCACCGTAATATTTACTGAACTTTTTCTCTCAGTAATGAGTCCAGTTAGTGGTGCTATCCTTTACAAAGGGACAGTTTAAGGAAGGTGTTAGTGGATTGCTCTGGCTTTATTTATCCTTTCACTGAGCATCCCCTTTCTATCAGTAGAAAAACAGCCACAGATTGCTCTGTCTAATGTGGGGTGAGGCTGGGGGAGGAGGCAGATTTTGACAAATGGCTAGACTCAGGAGTTCATGCATAACACCATATTTATTTTAAGTATTTGGCAGATAAAAGGGTAACTTAATAATCAGTGACTTTTATGATATTGCTGAGTAAAGATCAAGAACAATAAGAACAAAGCACTGAAATGAAGCATCAGGAAGTTGTCCAAAGAAGAAGGTGTTAGACCCACAATTCAAAAATACGTATACATGATAAAAGGACATGTTCTGAGTTGAATCAAGAAAAGTTTAGTTTTTGGAAGACACCTAGAGTTTCATCACAGAGTTAGATCAGATACATTCCTGTTCTGTGCTAAAACAGTCAATACTGTTTATTGATTTATTTTTGAATTACACTGGTACCTTCTCCTCCATATCAGCAATCACATAAGACACAACAGTCCAAAGAGCAGCACAGAGATTCATTTTGACTGGATCCTGAACCGTCATTGTGTCGCCTTGCGAATGATGAAACCAGAAGTATTTAGTGATATCGTTACTCAAACTGGCACCTGTGGAGAACAGCACAAAGGTATTTCCTTGTCATGTGAATGATATAAATTTAGACAGAATCTTTTAGATTGTGTTTCATTAACTCTGAAACAGTAAATCTGTAAACAGATGGTCTGAGGAAAGACATAGAAATAGAGAAGGAGATAACCTAGAAAAGAAAGGATGAAATCCAGTAGTATCCTCTCAGTTTCTATTGTTACATTTTTCTGAGGTCAGGAAATCCTGTGATCCTAGCCAAATCAGAGCTAGGTTGGCAACAGATTAGGATTAAAAGCATTCCACACCTCCCAGGTCTTTTCCATCTCTCCTGATCCATTGGGGAATTTATTTTGTTGTTTAAATCAGGGGTCTCCAACCTTGGCAACTTTAGACTTGTGGACTTCAACTCCGAGAATTCCTCAGCCAGCTTTGCTTTGCTGGTCTAAACCATGTTTTCTTTAAGTTTTAAGCATGATGGTTGGGGAATTCTGGGAGATGAAATCTACACATCTTAAAATTGCCGAGGTTGAGAAACACCAGTCTAAAATTATCTTCTTCCCAGTACTTGGAATGGGAGGAAATCTTAAGAAGTTCCACAAGATGATGGGTAGGTTGTAAACGTATGGTTATGACTTTCCTACTTTCCATAAGGTGTGTGAAATGTTTTTAAGTCACTCTGTTTTTGTCACTGTATAATGACTTAAATAATTTGTTGTCAGTCTTGCAAAACTAAATGCAAATGCAAATGCTGGCTAATTATTTTTAAAATACTAATAATTCTATTTATTATTTTATTATTCCCCATAGACTAATTTTAGGGAATACCGTTCTCAGGGATATTAGACTTTGAGACATGTTCTGAAGTTAAATCTCTTTTGCCATCTGTGCTTGAGCAAATAACAAAATCCCTCCTCCTCCTGCTCCTCCTCCTCCTCCTTTTCCTGATATTTTAATACCCTGCCCCACAAAAAACCCAAACTCAACCTCAAACAAATACATTATGCAACAAATCTCACTAAAGGAGGGAAAATTGAGAGAAATCGAAATTGGCACTTTCACAAAAATGGCAAAATTGAAGGAAATAAAACGGACAGATTCATTCATTCCTAGATGTTTGACCCCTAGCCAAAGTGCTTAATTTTTCCTTTACCCTGATGTTAAACGTTTCTCCCCTGAAATAAATGAAAATATGCCTTTGGCTTTGAGTCGCTTAATAACATCCTGGTTAAATTGAAACCGTTATTTGCTGCAATCCAAGAAATTCTTGGCATGTGTCATGAATGATATTGTGGTCTGGACCAACATCGCATCAGCTTCCAAGAGTTTACTGGGAGCTTAATGATTCCATTGCTCAGAGCATCTGCAAAACTGGGAAATATGACACAAATCAGCTCCCAAAAGATGTTGCAATGAAGAAAACTGACAGGAAGCCTGAGATGGTGCCTAAAATATCTGTTTAAGTAGAAGAAGAGTTTCCACCAGATGCCACATGAGCAGTATCAGGCTTCTGTGTACGGCTAATGGGATGGGTTCAAGCCAATGCGCAATAATAATTACATTTATTGGTTATTTGGCATCTAAAGGTTGCACTGCATTTCTATTTTAAGTGCTTTAGTATTTTGAAATATGGGGTGAATTCATGCCTATTGCACACCATCCTAACAGACAAGCAGAGATTGGGTGGTCTCAAAAGCTGCATTTCAAATACATTCAAAGGAAAACAGAAGATGAAAAGAGAAATGAAAGCAACTATTAAAATAGCCAGATGGATGGATGGAGGAAACCACAAAGTTCCTCATGGGAGATAGAGAAGGAGCATCTTCCTAGGGGAGCCAATAGGAGATGCAAGATGAGAGAAAGTGGTTCCCTTCAACTTTCTACTCCCAGGGTACCTGACATTTAGAGCTGAGTATTCTTTCCTTTTTAATTACAGTCAAGGTATATACTTTAAGCTATTTCCTCCTGCATAAGAGAAGGAAAGGCAGAATCATCAACAGTGATAGAGGATATATTTGGCAGGTTCTGAAGTGCAAAACCTTGTTTGTTTTTCTTCACATTATTTCTTACTTGTGTCCTAAGATGGTTCCGCATTAAAGGCCCCAGATTCAAATGCATGCATTTAAAGAAAATAAAGACATATATTTTATCCATTGGTATGCAATCTTCATCAACACAGAAACACCCAATGTGTTGGCACTGAAGCTCCCAGAATTCCCAGGTAGTATTTTCAGCCTTCCAGCATTAATTCTAACATCACCAGGTTTGATTTTTTTACATAGAGCCTAATAAATAGAAATATTGTAATAAAACAATCCATGATTTTCATGGAGAAAAAGTATATTGTCATGTAGAAAATCAATCGATGTAGTTGCTAAGACTTCACACCAATCGGATGGCACATAATCAATAAAAGGAAGGGAGGGAGGATCATAAAATGTGGGAAAATGTCGTTTGATAAATCTGAATTTGCATTATCTACTGCTTTCAGAAAATAGGGCTAGCAAGCTGTCTTGAATGTTTCAAGAGCATGGAACTCTGGCGAGAGATTTGAGTGTATTGATGTTGAATAGTAAGTAGATGACTAAGCAGCTTCATTTTTTAAGTGATTGGGTGTTTGAAAAGCCAAGCCATGTGCCACCCTAACAATGACTATTTGCGCTCCAAAGGGCTTGGCAGGTTCTGCAAAGCCAAGAGATAGCTTATAATGTAGTAAGTAAATTAAAACCATTATGTAGGAAGTCTGTCTACTCAGAATCACTGAATGTCAGGCATGCCTCATTCAGTAACCAAGAAAGAAACCTCTCAACTCCATTGTTTAAGAATTAAAAGTACTTTTACTAGTTATGAATAGATAACAGCGAAGTAAAGCAAGGTCTGAGGCAGAAAAGCGCGAAATCATACATATCAAACATTTGCCCAGCTCCCTCCCTCCAACAACCCCCACCCCATTGCCCAATCTGCAACTCCCTTAGGTTTCATGTGGGCTGCATCTCCAAGAAGCATCATCAGGTTGGTACGCAGGATGGTTGGCCTTGACCAGGTCCAAACATCGGCCATCAGCATGCGCAGAAGATGGTGAGAACAAAACTCCCTTGGTGATCTATCACTCCTGTACTATGGTGATCGATCACTCCTTGACTATTACTCCTGTACTATTTATTCCTATCCCAAATGCCATGTCCACCCATTGCCATGGCAGCCGAAAGCAAGTAAGCAAAGCAGAGGCTGACACTGAGAGATAGGAATACATTTAATCAATCAAACAATTGTACCATTTCTCCCTGGTAGTAGCCACATTCTAGCCTTCTGAAGGCTTCAAACAGTGAGACCGCAAGCGTGAACGAACCTGTAGCACCGGGATTTGAAACCCACTTCTGGCATAGTGGTAGTAGTGATAGTGATACTCGGAAATCACTGCCAACATTGGGATCTACATTATATCACTTTATCATCTTTTTCAGAGTCCCTGCCTTGATGAATGTTTGTTTATTTAAAAGTTTTATACGGCTGGACATCTGATAAAACACAACCCTGATTGGCTCACTACAGGTAGTCTTTGACTTTCAAGGGTTCATTTAATGGCTGTTCAAAGTTACAACATATTTATGACAGTTACAGTATTCTGGACTCATGTGAACTTTTGCGACTTTCTGGCAAGCAAAGTCAAATGGGAAACCGAATTCACTTAACAACTGTGTCACTAATTTAACAACCGCAACGATCCACTTAACAACTGCGGCTACAAAGTTTGCAAAATGGGGCAAAATGCACTTAACAAATGTCTCACTTAACAACATTAATTTTGGACGGCATGTATCATTTCAATTTTTTTGCTTCAGGTGCAGCCACCTCTAGAACTGGCATCATTCCATGAGATTAAGGGAGCCAATTTGTGCCTTCAGCAAACAAACAATACGCTAAGAATTTTTGTCAAATCAAGCCAAAGTGATCAAGAACTTAATGTAGTTCCAGTGCCATTAAATCTGTCACTGTGCCTCCACACTTGAAATTACTGAGGAAAGTAAATGGTGCTTGAGTTATCCTGCTACAAACCTTGAAATAGTTTCCGGCACTGAGTTTATAAATAACACCAGAAGTCCTGCTGTTTTACCTCCTGATTCACTCTTCTCCAAAGCTTTTAAAATTCAAGATTTAAACAAAATGGAGAAAAGGAAAGCACTTATTCAGCTGCCTTGTGGTTAATTAAATGAGGGTTGCCAAAGGGGAAGGAGGAAAAAAATATGTTGCGAGTCCAACTTCCCTTTCTGTTTAATCCATTTTTTATTCATTTGTATTGATGCAATAAATAAGTTGAATTATAGCTCAGATTATCACAGTTACTTTGCAGCACAACCTTCGCTTTTGTGTCACAGAATCTGCTGCAGCAGCTGGAGAGAAAAACTAGGCCTCTGTATACAACTGGTGTGAAATCAGGCTTCCGTGAAGGAAGAGGTTTCACTCTACAGCACAAATGTGGGATAGGAATCTAAAATAATTTATCCTAAAGTGCTCCCAAGTTAGCCAAAACAAATGTGGGCTTTGTTTTATAAGAACACTCTAGTGGCATTCTCCATTTCTTCCAGGCATTGTAGGCAAAGATTTTCTACTATTAAACAGCATGGATTACCCACTGCAAAACTACTGGATTTTGGAGATTTATACAATGGTTAAGTTTCTCTTTTCTTTCATTTCATGACCTGTATGTTTCAATTCTCTTTCCATCTGGGATAACATGCAGTACTGTACAAAAATGGCAGAAACTTATCATTTCATACAGTTCTGACTTAGGCTTCTCCAAAAAGCATGAAAAGGAAAAGCACTATGCAAGGAAAGACTGGGCACAAAGTCTCTGAGATTCATGGACAGATCTTCACATTCCTGAAACAAATCTAATGACCGAAGGAACAAATCATTTCCTGCAAAAGCCCTTTAGCTCCTCTTTTATATTTTATGGGAGGAGCCAATCACCTTCTATCTGTGACTTTACTTCCAAGTCTACCAGTGGTGGGTTTCAAAATTT